CTCCGATGACTCCAAAAAACCTTCCAAACCCCAACAAGCTCCTGTCCACCTCCAGGACAGTGGTACAGTGTAGTCAGGACACTGGGCAAGGGTGTGTCCAAATCTTAGACCACACCCAACCCATGTTCTATTTTTGGAAAAAAGACACCGGAAGTCAGATTGTGACCAGCGAGACTCTCTCTCCCGTTTGGTCACTTCTGCACTTTCAGGTTTCCTCATCCCCTGCTGGGACTGGCTGAACTCCTCGACTTGGCTACTGAAGACTGACGGGGTCCAGGGTGTGCCACTCCCACTGCCCTCACCATCAGAGCCATCGCAGAACCTAGGGTGATGCTGTCAATATCTGTTAAGCCTGTCTCTCTCTTATTGAACACAGAGGCTTCGTCCTCAGTCTTGCCCGAATACACAGGATCCCTCCTTAACTCCCCTATCACTATTGTCAAAGTAGATAGAATATCTTTCACTTCTAAAATGACCAAGCCACTAGTCTGCTTTCTATGCAACACAACCTTCACTCACTCCTTTTTAGTTATTCCACAGTGCCCCACACCTATACGAGGTAGGAATATCCTCACAAAATTTCAAACTTCCATACAGTTCACCCCTCACAACCCCCCCTTACAATTCTTTCCCCTTCATTTTACTTTGCCACCCAGATGCCTCTCCCCCCTTCCTCCTTGTCCTCCCTTTCCTCCTTCCTTCCCTCTGTAAATCCTATAGTTGGGGACATTTCCACACTTAGTGTTATACACCATCATACTCCCATCATGATCAATTTACAAAATCCTTCATCCTGCCTCAACCAACCCCAATACCCTCTAAGCCCATCTGACTTAAAAGGACTCAAACCCATCATCTCCATATTACTCCAAGCAAATATCTTAAAACTAACCAACTCTTCTCACAACACCCCCACGCTAGCTATTAAAAAACCAAATAATTCATACCACCTTGTCCAGCACCTGCATATTGTTAATCAGGCTGTCACTCGCATTCATCCTATCGTCCCAAACCCCTACACTCTGCTCTCTCACATCCCACCTAACACCACCCACTTCACCGACTTAAAAGACGCCTTCTTCACCATTCCCCTTAACACAGCCTGCCAAAATCTCTTCGCCTTCACCTAAATAAACCCCAGCTCACAAAACTCAACCAGTTAACCTGGATGGTCCTGTCACAAGGCTTCAGGGACAATCCTTACCTCTTTGGACAAGCCCTTTCTCAAGACCTATCTAATTTAAACTTAACCCTCAGTACCCTTCTACAATGTTAATGATCTTCTCCTGTACAGTCCCTCATATAATCTTTACATTCAACATACCTCTCAATTACTCAACTTTCTGGAAAAACATGAACATCAAGTCTCTCCCACTAAAACTATAATTACCAAAACAAAAGTAACCTATCTCAAACTCTCTATAACTCCTACAACCCAAACCATTCTCACACACAAAAAAACACCTCATTCAAAACATGCCTGTACCTACCACCAAAAGGGGATCACCTTTCTTTCTTAGACCTTGCAAAATATTTTCAATTATAAATACCTAATTTTGGTCTGTTAGCCAAATTTCTTTATACAGCGTCACAAGGCCCTATCCCCAAACCTTTAAATCCTCCAACCCAATTAATTCTCTGTTTTACAAACTAAAAGAGGTCCTCCTAAAGTCCCCAGCCCTAAAACTGCCAAACCCTACCAAACCTTTCACCTTGTATGTCCACACAAAACACAACATCGCCCTGGGGCTTTTATGACAGTCCTATGACAATACTCCTCAGGCCATATGTGTCAAAACAACTCGACTCTGTCGTGCTTGACTCTGTCATCCAAGGCTGGCCGTCATGCCTCCAAGTTCTGGGTGCTGCCACTAGACTCACAGTCAAAACACTAAAACTAACACTGCCAACACATAACTGTCTCCTCTTTCACGCCCACGGCAACCAAAGTTGCGGGCCTTTTATGATACATACACATTTCACAGTTTAAAAGGGCTCCCAGTCCTACACTTCACACGCCTCTATCCACATGAAAACCTCCTTAAATATACTTCATTTCCCACAGGATCTACCCCTCTTCAATTACCAAAAGTTCTTAAACTTCCAAAATCTCCTAAATCATACACCAAAAGGAGCCCTTAGTAACTCTGTACATATGGATGTTCTTTTAATAATATTACCAATAGTCGCTGCTATAATATTCATCTTAGCCTATATTATGAGATATTTTTGTCAAATACCTCCACACTATAACACCCTGTGAACTTTCCTACTTCCCTAAGCTGATAAACCTCACCTTCAACAATTTCTTCTATATCCTTCACTCTAATCTTGCCTTTTACCGCCTTAATAATCCCCTTACCTCGCTACATCAACTACTTTCAGCAATTACTAATCTTTAGTTACAAGGAGACCTATATAATTTCTCCCCCAACCTTATCACTTGGTACTCCTTCCTAATGTGCATTTTAGTTGACAACCTCCTTACCACACCATGAAGCTCAACCCTCTCCTACATTGGCCTCTTATTCTAACCTTAGCCTCCTTATACATCTCATTCCTACTTAACATTGTCCTCTAGCAACTAAACTCCTTTCATCAATCCCACACACCAATTCTTACACAATACACAGCTTCCATTGCACTCTAACAACGAAATTTGTCTGTCAACCCAAACCCAGAGGTTTACAGTCATCCTGGCCAACCCAGACACTTAAGCCCAAATTAGCATAAATTTATATCTCATATTTAAAGCAAATCCTCTTTAAAATCTTTTAGTGACCTTAATTGCCTAATAACCCATTCCAAAACCTCCAAAGTCCCAATCAGGTACACTCCTTTATTTTAAAACAACACATTTAAAAGCTGCGACTTTTCCTAACCCATTTTCTACCAAAAAATCCTAAACCTCCAATCTGGAAACCCGTTACCTCTCAAACTTTGCTAACCACCCCAACACCTCTTTGTCTCCTGTGCTCATTCCCTAACCCCTCTCATGAGTCCTTTTTAAAAACTCTTCCCCCTAACCTTTACCAACTCACTCTCCAACCTTCATAAGACCACCCATCCCAACACCTCAAAGCCTAAACATACCCTCTACAATTCTCTTGTCCTCCATCCATTGCCATAAAAAAATTATCAAGCCGTTCCTATGCCGTCTTTCTGTCAATGCTGCCTATCAAATATATTTGCACAGAAAATGCATGGAAAAAACCAACAAACACACTGGCCTACACACTTCTAAACCTCTCACAATTCAATACTTCCCAATCAGTAATTACCAATAACTCCAATCTCTTATCTTTATATAACCAATCTGAGTTCACAGTCTCTCCTACTAACATACGCTTTCAGGCCCTCACTGGAGCTACACTTATAGGTAAATATTCCATGTAAAAATAAAGAAATAAAAGACAAAGGCACATGGTTAACCTCCATTACCTATAGGTCCATTACCCGGGAATTTTCTTCCTATATGGCACTTCCTCCTGTCCCTGTCTACCTGCCAATTGGTCAGGCATTTGTACTTTAATACACCAATCTTCAGACATGAGTATTCTACCTAATAATCAGACTATTCAAATTCCTCTATCAGCTTCAATCTCTTTGTCTGCAATTAAATCGAAAGGGCAATTCGATTCCTGCTCTTACTAGCAGGATTAAGCATTTACAGTTAAATCCATTAGCAGGGATAGTGTTCCAAAATAGGAGAGCACTTAACCTCCTAGCAGCTAAAAAAGGGGTATCTATATAACTCTCTCTCCAAAAAAGAATGTTGCTTTTTGTTAGTAAACCAGGCATAGTTCAGGATGAAGCCCATAAACGTCAAAACCGGGCAACAAAACTCACACGGCAGGCTACCAGCTCAAGGTAGACCGGGTCATCCCTCTCTGCCTGGATGCTCTAAATAACCCCTACTCAAACTTCTACTCCTCATCCTTCTCTTACTCATTATTAAACCTTGCCTTATTAACTTTATCTCCCATTTTGTCTCCTAACAATTAAATGCCTTGATTCAAGCTAGCAGAAAAAAACATGTCAACAACATCCTCCTGCTTCACCAGTCCAGATTTCATACCCTTCAACACCAGCAAGTATGCAATCTCAACCCCAAGAAGGGCACGTCACAACTTTAACCCCAAATTCAGTGCCCCACCTCAGCAGGAAGTAACCAGATGACCTATGACATCCCTCCCCCATGGCTATGTGCCCTCCTCTCCTATCTATCTATCTCCTATCTATCTCCTATCTATCTATCTATCTATCTATCTATCTATCTATCTATCTATCTATCTATCTACCTATCTATCTATACAAAAAGACAGGAATGTTAACCCAGGTAACACTACCTTTGAGACTTCTGCCATTTTCTAGCTGCCCCGGGATGGAAAATTCTCAACGAGGCTAGGCTGCAACGCATCCTTTCTAGCACCTAGCCTAACCGCAGGGCTCCATCCTTACTTACTTGACCAAATTTTTAGTTACCTCCTAGCAACGCCAACTGCAAACCCCCGCCCCCAAGCCCTATAACTAACCTGTAAGCAGTAGTGAGCTTCAGTTTTCTAAAGTCCTCTCCGCAGGAATAAACCTGTGTTACTGTTGAGCCGCCCAACTCCTGTCTCTCCTTTCCTATCTGCTCTTTTTCTTGACCTAACAGTGGGGTTATTCTGGGTAGCTCTAGAATCAGGGATAGTAACTGTTTATGAGGAGGCAGACTTTGATTTGAAATAAGAAAGATTGATCTTACAAAACAGATTCTGTCCCAGCAACAAAAGAGACTGCCTCAGAGGGTCGTGAAATACCTACTTGTTGGCTACCTTCCACCTGGTGTCTAACAGGGGAGTCCAGCACTGAATGAGAGATGGGCCAGGTGACCACTGAGATGGCCCTGTATTCCTTTAGGGATTGAATTTAAATGAGTAAAAACAAACACTTAACTGCTGCCTTTTTACGTTTTGTCTTAAGTTCAGAGTTCTAACTTGTATTTTTTTTTTAATTAGGAAAAGATGGCATCTCTTTCCTCCTGAAGATACTCCTCTCCTTTATCCAACTAGAATCCCTTATGAAGAATCTAGTGTGTTCAGCAAAATCAACGTTGTCAATCCTGATTTAAAGCGTTTTCCCCAGTTCCAGAAAGCTCAAAGACATATAGTTACGCTGAGCCCAGGACAGGTAATGGGGCTTTAAAACATTAATGACCTTCCAGGGGACACCATAGCTGTAACTCTCTCAAGTCCTTATGCTGTGTGCTTCACCCTCCTACAAATGAGAATGATGTCCTTCCCGGCTATAGGCTTCGGACACATAGGGCTCTGCTTCACAGGGCCTGGAAAGGAGATGGGCAGAGGGAACACAGCTCCTCCTATGGGTGAAGAGAAGAATGGACTTTGGAAGAGGCTAAGAGCCTACAAAACCCTTGTCACTAAGGTCAAGAGAACATGTTCAAGATATGGGCACTTGAGCACCTCTGAAACATTTATTTACAGTTACTATCTGCTTAACTATTCTAGAACTAAACCCAGACACATAAAGACATGTTGGAATGCATCCAGGGAGTGTAGACAGAAGATAGACAGAAGGAACTGAGAATGGTTGTCTTTTAAGCAGGACTGGAGGTTGCTTTCATAAACGCTGTCTCTGAAACATTTTCAAAGATATTGTACTTAGTGCTGCTGCCCAGTGGGGAGCATGTCCTTTACAATATTAGCACTTTCTGTCTGATACTCTCTTAACAATTTGAAAGATTTTCTTAGTTTCCTAAGGAGACTCTATTCCCTCAATTATCCCTCCCCCCTGCCTGTCTTCCGTTGCGCCCTTCTCACTGGCTCTTTTCCTGCTACTTTCACATTCTATGCTACCAACTCAGACAGTTTCACTTGACAGAGTTGCCTCGGCCCGTTAGCAGGCATTTCACTTTCACCTCTCCCTCCAGCCCCGACAATCACTCTGTTTTCTGTCTCGATAGATTTACCTATTCTGGACGTTTCACGTAAGTGCAACGTTACAACACAGGCCTTTTGTGCCTGACCTCTTCAGATGGGCCATCCACGTTGAGGATGTCATTAGCACTTCGTTTCTTTTTTATGACTGAGTAATATCTCATTGTGTGGCTATACTAGGTTTTGTTTATCCATCCATCAGTCGATGGCCACTTGGTCGTTTCTGCCTTTTGGCTATTATGAATAATGCTGCTTTGAACATTTGTGTACAGGTTTTGTATGAACATACACTTTCCGTTGTCTCAGGTGTATGCCTTGGAGTGGAATGGCTGGGTCATATGGTAACTCTGTTTTTGTTTTTGATACAGGGTTTTGCTTTGTCACCATGGTTGGAGCATAATCATGGCTCACTGCAGCCTTGAACTCCTAGGTTTCAGTGATCCTGCTGCCTCAGCCTTCTAGTAGCTAGGACTAGGGTGTGTACCACCACACCCACCCAGCTAATTTTTCTGTTTTTTGTGGGGATGGAGTCTTGCTTTATTGCCCAGACTGGTCTCAAATTTTTGGGTTCAAGCAATCCTCCTACTTCAGCCTCCCAAAGTGCTAGAAATATAGCACAAGCCATCATGTCCAGCAATGTTTAACTTTTTAAGGAACTTCCAAACTGTTTTCCACAGCAGCTGCATCACTTTACATTCTCACCAGCATTGTGTGAGAGTCCCAGTTTCTTCACATCCTCCCCAGCGCTTCTTTGTTTCCTTTTTCATCATTATTCTCACAGCCATTCTAGTGGGCAAGAAGTGGTTGCCAATTCATTTTCTCTTCTGTCTTTAATAGCCAAGTTTTAATGAGTAGTTTTGTCTGTTATATCAGTTTTCCTTCCATCCTGTCTTCCTTAATCCACCATAACTTAGCTCTGCCTTACTACTTTACTGAAACTGTACTCTATGATAGGACATTCATGACCTTCTAATGACTAAATCCGGTGCCCCCTTTTAGTTCCCAGTTTTCCTAAAAGGAACTATCTTCCTATCTCCCAGTCCTGCCTTGTTAGAGCAAGTGCCATTCATTTTCTAAACCCAAAGCTCAGAAGCGTCAGATCACCTCCATTTGCTCTCCTCTCCACGGGAAATCTCGTACTGAATCTGGATAGATGCCCTCCTTGATCTACCCATTGCTTTTGTTTAGTCTACCTTCCAGTTTAGATCTTAGCATTTAATAAGTGGGCCACTGCAAGAATCATCTGTCCTTCCCAGACTCTCTCCTAATATCACTTTTTAACCCTCTCCCACTCAGAGTTTCTCAGCAATTCGTAATGCCTACAGGATAAAATCCAAAATCTTACTCTGAATTCGGCATCCTCTGCTGACCATAACGTAATTCTCCCATCATATCTACTGTTCCTGCCTCTGCAGTAGTAACGCTGATTCCTTACCATCCCTCAGCAGTCCCATCTACTTTGCCACTTCTTCTTCCTAGCATTTCCACATTCTTTTCCCTGTTTAAATACTCTCCTAGCCCTGGGTCAAATCACACCTCCTCTATCCAGGCCACCCCTCACCTCCCCAGTCCTTGCCTGCTTCTCCCACCTCTAAATTTCTCAAGCATTGAACATCCTCTCATTTACCACCTCCATAGTGCTGCCTTTCTATGCGTGATCTTCTCATTTCTAGATTTTGAACCATGAGAGGACAGAAACTATGTCCTATATTTTTTACCTATGCCCTTTCTCAGAAGGAATAGAACTATTTTGTGATGGAAAGGATAAAAAGTTAGAATCTCAGGTCATGTACTAAGATTTAGATACAGACAAGAAGACCTGGGATTAAGGAGAGTAGAGGAACTGACAGTATCCTTTGTAGAACATGCGAACTTATCAATAAAAAAAGGAATAAAAGGAAAAAAGTATTGTGGGTTTTGCTGTTGTTGTTTCCTTATTTCCTTTTCCTTCAGCAGTATTATTGTGAATTCATTTGTATTCCTTTTTTCCCTAGCAGCCTGAGTTAAGGTCTGATTTTGACGTAAATATGAAATGTCCTATTTTTGTGCTAACCTTTTTTTTTTTTTTTAGGTTCTGTTTGTTCCCAGACACTGGTGGCATTATGTAGAATCCATTGATCCTGTCACTGTCAGTATAAACTCATGGATTGAGCTGGTACTTTTTTATTTTTGTTTTTAAATAAGTGTAATTCCTGTTTTTGAAATATATGCAAAGCCTGTCTATGCAACTTGGTGATTAATTTTCTTTAACTAACTACTATTACTTTGTTGGAATATGCTATAATTTATGTACTCTTTCCTCTGTTGATGGGTGTTAGACTGAAACAGGAATTTTAGTGATATGCCACTCTTTTTCTTTTAAGGACACACAATGGGCCCTGATGTTGACATCCAAAGGCCTCTCCCTTCACCAGTGTTGTTAGGAAAATTGTATTGGGCCTGGCTGGAGTGCCATGTCTCACATTGCCAGTCCTTTCCCACACCATCTGGGCTAGAAATAGCTGCTTCTAGGCTCAGGGTCATTACTAATTACAGAATTGTCTTGGCTTCTACATTTTCTCAAAGCAGAGTATTTTAGTGCTAAGTTTTTATCATTTCATTTCTGCCAGATGCCTTCCCCCCAAAAGTATGCTATGCTTAATCCTGGTTGCCTGGTCTATTTGACAGTTACAATAGCTGCTCATTATGCGCAAGTCTGTCTTTGCAACCCAAGGCCTTAAATGCATCTGAGCTTTCTTTTTTTTTTTTGAGTTGGAGTCTCACTCTGTCACCCAGACTGGAGTGCAGTGGCCGCTCCTGGCCACTGCAGCCTTGACCCGCTGGGCTCCGGCGATCCTTCCGCCTCAGCCTTCCAAAGAGCTGGAACTACAGGCATGCGCTACCACACCCGGCTAATTTTTGATCTTTAACTAGAGGCCCTGACTGCGTCACTGCTGTCTCTGACCCAAAGCCTGTATTGCATCTCTCTGCTCTTTGGCAGCCACATTCTCCCCTCAGTCCGGTTTTTCCTATTCTGTGGTAATGGGAAGAGTTTTGGATCTATGGAGCATTGAGGATATTGTAACAAGAAGCTATATTATGTAGGCTTAGAGAATAGAAGAGGTGTAGCCCTATGGGGCTTAGGTGAGAAGTATGGTGGGAGATCAGTAGCCTTACGGAAATTCTGCCAGTAGCGTGGTTGGGTTGGAGCAGATGTTAAGGTAGAGTCCATGGAGTCCACTTCCATTCCCAATGCCAAAGTCATACCTGCTATAGTCCTGATAGGTGCTTTAAAGCTCATTTGTTGTAAAACAGTGGAGCTACCATCTTTTAAAAATATTTGAAGAGGTGGCCGTGAGCATGCCACTGCACTCCAGTCTGGGTGACACAGTGAGACTCTGACTCCTAAGAAAAATTACAAATTTAATAAATTTTTGTAGATCAATTTACTACATGTCAGCTGTTCTAGGTTCTTGTGATAAAGCAGTGAACAAAACAAAAGGACAAGTCCATGTCCTCATGGAACTTCCATTCATCTCATTGGTAATGATTTGTCTGACATATGTCATCCCCTCTAGACAGTAACCCATAGGGTTCTCTTGCTCACCCCTGGATTCCCACTGCCTGGGACTTAGTAGATGTGCCGTATCTGTGACTGACTGATTAACCAACCCTGAGCAACAAGGCAAAGATTTGTAGTAACTCTACCCAAGGGAGAGAAAAGGGAAAAGCTGCCCAGAAGAAATCTGATGAGCTCTTAAATTGTTTTTTGCCCTGAATCACAGTAGTACTTAGTATGTATTGTCATAGCATAAATGTTAAATAATCAGTTCCCCCATCAATCTAAAATGGTTTTTTGTTTTGTTTTGTTTTTTGAGTTGGGGTCTCTGTCACACAGACTGGAGTGCAGTGGCACCATCACAGCTCACTACAGCCTCAAACTCCTGGACTTAGATGACCTCAGCCTCTTGAGTAGTTGAAACTACAGGCATAAAAATATTTTTCTTTGAAGATACCCTCCATGTGTTTTCATAATCTTTTTTCTTCCAAGCTTAAAACATCTACTTTCTTTAATGATGGGTTTTTATATGATGTCCCTCTCCTCCCCCCAAGACTTTTTACCATTCTGGTGATAGACTTTAGAATCTGGCAGCTTTAAGTTACAGGTTACATTTGGTAGCTACCTAACATGAATGATTGCTTAATCTCTACAAACCTCAGTTTCCTTCCTGTAAAATGAGGATTATAATTGAACCCACCTCAGTAGGGTTGTGAGGCTTAAATTGGACACAATACATTGTAAAAGTATCTAAATATTGCCTGGCATATGGAAAAGCGTTTAAAAAGTAGAAATTGCTATAAGGAAAAGGAGAGTTATTTTGTCAAGAATAGTCCTTTTAATATATAGCATCTAAAAGTGAATAGCAAGCCGGGCTTGGTGGCTCAGCCTGTAATCCCGCGCCTTTGGGAGGCTGAGGTAAGTGGATTGCCTGAGCCCGTGGGTTCAAGACCCCCCTGGGAAACTTGGCGAGACCTCATCTCTACAATAAATCAAAAAATCAGCTGGGCGTGGTAACACGCGCCTGTAATTCCGGCTACTTGGAAGGCTGAGGCGGAAGGATCACCAGAGCCCAGCAGGTCGAGGCTGCGGTGGCCGGGAGTGGCCACTGCACTCCAGTCTGGGCGACAGAGTGAGACTCCAACTCAAAGAAAGCAAACAAACAAAAATAAATAAATAAAAGTGAATAGCAGTGGGCTATTGAGAATGTAAGATTTCTATCACAAATGACTTAGATCCTAAATTTTTTCAGTTCTGTTTATAATATTGCATTAGCTTTGTAGTATCTTATCTCACTTTAGTTTCTTATTCAGGTCTAAAATATCCATGCTTTTTTCACGTGATCTGCTATTATGTCAGGTTGTCCTCTAACTGATTTTAAGTCTAAATACAGTAATTCACAGTCATTCTTATGAACTTTCACCATGTTGGTTTGGTTGAGCATTTCAGCTTACCAAGATGATTTTGAATTTGGGTCTATCTATCCTTTTAGTGAAACTCCATCTAGCTGACCCATGCCCTTTTGAGAAGTTCCCATTTATTAGTCATTGAGTGTGTCCTTGCTTTCTGGCACAAGAAGATAGCCCAGAAAAACCTTGTACCTTTCCTGCTCCAGACTTGGAAGTCAGTCTTTTCTCCAGGTAGGGGAAAAATAGGTCCTTTTAGGGGGGAATGGTATTTAGAAACTGAGATCTGGACTCTAAGGCTGTTCATTACTACTGGGTTGTCACTATTACTGGGAATGTGTGATCGATGAAATGATAGAGACTGACATATATATCTATATAGAGATATATATGTATAATTCAGGTTTTTACTATATATATATATATATATATATATATATATATATATATATATAATTTTTTTAAGTTCATGGTAAACAGGTAACATGCCAATGTAACAAGGCTTGGGGGAGGCATATCTCTCTCACATATGCATGTGAACACTCAGTTATCACACTTTTAAACTCCAAAAGGAGCTAATTCATGTTTAATGTTAAGAAGTTTTCTCTGATTTTTTTCTGTATTTTTATCTCTTACACTGAAAATCTGGGTTCTTAATAACAGTAACAGCCGGGCTCAGTGGCTCAGCCTGTAATCCCGCGCTTTGGGAGGCAGAGGTGAGTGAATTGCCTGAGCCCGCGGGTTCGAGACCCGCCTGGGCAACTTGGCGAGACCTCATCTCTACAATAAATCAAAAAAATTAGCTGGGTATGATAGCGTGCACCTGTAGTTCCAGCTACTTGGAAGGCTGAGGCAGAAAGATCGCCGGAGCCCAGCAGATTGAGGCTGCAATGGCCAGGAGTGGCCACTGCACTCCAGTCTGGGTGACTAAGTGAGACTCCAACTCAAAAAAATAAAAAATAAAAATAACAGTAACATGTTTACTTATTTGCTTTATCCAGCCATATATTTTTTTAAGATATCAGATTTACAGTTCCAAAATTCCAATACTGGTATTACCACTAAATACAATACTTGCAAGTTAGAGTTAAGATTTATTTGCAATTCTTTTTATTATTAGACTATATCTCACTAAGGGGGCAAAAAGTGCTTTGTTCAGAAGTTATTGTGAAGGAATTCTCTTCACTGGTGGTTATGTTACTAATTTCATATTAAGTTCATTTGTTTTGGTTTGTTTTCAATTTTAGGATTTATTTTTACTTTGTAAATGTTTGATCTAATTTAATATTTTGAATATGAAAAATATTTAACGTCAAAACTATATTAAAAAGGTATACTCAGGGAAGTCTCCCTTTATCCCTGTTCCATCCGCTCCATCTTTCCCATACACTATAGGGATCATTTTTATTCACTTCTGGTTATCATTCCAGTGTGTCTTTTTTGTAAACATATATATATAAGTAATTAAGTAAATTAATCTATATAAATAGGTATATGGATAAGTCACTGTGGTATAATATTCTCTTGTGTTAAGGCACCACATACTTTATACTATTTTAGTATATTTATAATAAACTATTCATTATTAATAGTTTATTATAATTAGAATTGCTCTTATATTAGTAAAATTTAATTTGGTAATTATAGGTTAAAATATATTAATACTTTATTACATTTATAATAATATATTCATTGTTCTGCTGACGGATGATTGGGCTGTTTCCAGTTTTTTGTTTTTATGAACAGAATATTCTTATATTTGTTTCCTTGCACACATGTGCAAGGGTTTTTTTCTAGGGACTATGGACAGATCCAGGAGTGTTATTGCTGGTCTACAGGATAAAAAATAGTCAGGATTACAGGATAATGCCACCCATGTTTTCCAAATTTCCCTATCACTTTGCACTCACATTAGTGTATAAGACTTCTCTCAATGTACATTTTTCCACTACTGGAATTATCAGACCCTTTTTTGCCTGTTTCATGGTTTTCTTAATTTGCACTTCCCTGGAGGATAACCATATTTTCATATGTGTGTTAGTCATGATTGCTCTTTTTTGAAATGCTTGTCTTTGTGTCTTTTGAACATTTGCTCTTTTGTCTTATTGATGTGTGCAGGTTCTTTATATGTTCTAGATATAACTCTTTTATCAGTTATATGTGTTACAGACATCTAGTTTCTTTTTTTTCTTTATATTTCTTGATGAACAGAAGCTAATTTCAGTGCAATTTATCACTAGTGATATAGTTTATACTTATTCTGTCTCAAGAAAGCCATGTGTAGATGGTTAGCCACCTCGTTCTTGCAGTCAAGCATGTTTATTATAATTTTTCTCCTACCTCTCAAATAATTTGCATATCAAATAGGGATTATACATATGTGTAATAATACTTTTTTTTTTTCTTGAGTTGGAGTCTCACTCTGTTGCCCAGGCTGGAGTGCAGTGGCCGCTCCCGGCCACCACAGCCTCGACCTGCGGGGCTCTGCCCATCCTTCTACCTCAGCCTTCCAAGTAGCCGAAACTACAGGTGCATGCTACCACACCCTGCTAATTTATTTTATTTTTTTTTATTGTAGAGACAGGGTCTCGCCAAGTTGCCCGGGCTGGTCTCAAACCCATGGGCTCAGGCAATCCACTCACCTCAGCCTCCCAAAGTGCTAGGATTAAAGGGTGAGCCACCGAACCTGGCCAGTAATACTTTTTTAACTTTAAACATGTCAAAAAGTGGAAATGATTGGAGAAAATATCATAAGACAGTTCATATTTAAGGCCTTTTTCCTACAGGCAGAATACATACTTAAATTTGGTGAAATATTCTACAACTCTTCTAGATGACTGATGAGAGTGAATACATAAAAATTGTGATTCTACCAATAGCATATTCATTCCTTCTGTAACAAAGCTTACGCTCATGAGAACAGGACACACAATTAACAGTGATTGTATTGCCGGGCTCAGGGGCTCAGCCTGTAATCCCAGCGCTTTGGGAGGCTGAGGTGAGTGGATTGCCTGAGCCCGCAGGTTCGAGACCCGCCTGGGAAACTTGGCGAGACCTCATCTCTACAATAATCAAAAAATCAGCCGGGCGTGGTAGCACGTGCCTGTAATTCCGGCTACTCAGAAGGCTGAGGCGGAAGGATTGCCAGAGCCCAGCAGGTTGAGGCTGCAGTGGCTGGGAGCGGCCACTGCACTCCAGTCTGGGTTAAAGAGTGAGACTCCAACTCAAAAAAAAAGAGATCTTATTCTCACTTTTAAGCTATGAGATGGAGACCAATGATAATATATGTTTTTCAATCTTGGTTTAGGAAGAGGATCACCTAGCCCGGGTGGAAGAGGCAGTCACCCGCACGCTTGTGTGCGCCCTGAAGACTGCAGAAGATCCACACAATACCCGAGCGTGGTTAAACCCCACTGAGGTAGGCCACTTCTGACTTTCATCATGGCAGTCAGTCTCCTGTGGCAACTCAACCCTGGCTAGGACATTTGTTTTCCAATTTAGCTAAATGTATGTAACAATTCTAAATAGTTTTCTTTTTCCTTAGGTTGAAGAAATATCCCATGAAGTCAATTGTCACTACTTAAATGGAGCTGTTTCTGCCTTTTTTAATCATTATAGAACATCAAATGCAACAGAAATCCAAGCACTGAAAAGAAATGGACAGCATATGGAAAAGGAAGAACTAAATGTGTGCAACCACACGGAGGCAGGCCAGACACATAGCCAGACCTTCGCCACGGGAACGGTGAAACAGGAGGCAGCAAGTCCCTTTGGCCCTGATCTGGTCCCTGTAACACAGAAGTCTGAAGAGCCACCTTCAGAAAGAGGAGGCCTGTCTGAAAGTGATGGACAACACTTTGGAAAATTACATTGTGCCAAGAGGCAAAAAATGATGAGTAACAGTGAGAATGCAATTGTGGAACAAGTTGCTTCTAGTAGCTTTACAGCCCCTTCTCAGACATTCATTTCTACAGATGACTTGCTGGACTGCTTGGTGAATCCACAAGTAACCAGGATGGTGGCACAGCTTTTGATACAGGGAAGACATTTGTGATGCTAATAGAAGATGATTTTCTAAATAATATTTTTAAAATATATTTTTAAATAATATGATATTAAAGTAACAGATGGAACTGTAAATGGTCGTTTTGCACACGTTTGTAAATGTACTTATTCTTACATCATTAAATTTCAGTCTGTTGCCACCTTTCTTGCACATTCCTCTTGGCCAGATTGGCTGCCTTTTATTTGTAAGTCTTTTTTCCTCAGTGTGTTTGCCGTTCCTCCTCCATCCCATCCTTTCAGCCTATCTCAAATGTAAGTCCCAAGTATTTCCAGCAGGAAGTAATCTCTCCATAGTCTCAACTAGGGGGCAGACTGCTGCTTATTTTTGTAAGTAAAGTTTTTATTTACACAGCCACACCATCCATTTTATTTACATATTATCAATGGCGACTTGAGGATTACAGTGGCAGAGTTGAGTAGTGACTGAGACTATATGGCCCAGAAAGTCAAAAATATTCAATATCTGTCCATTTACAGAAAAACTTTGCCAACCCCTGGTCTAATGGATCCATTGGGTGGGTTCTAGTCTCATACTTAAGTGGTCTGATGGGTAACACCGGCAGAAATCTCTCTGGGTAACACCTGTCATCCAGAGCAGGACACCAATCAGCAGAAAAGCACTGGGAGTCTAGGATGAGACCTCCTTAGGGTAGGAACTGGGAAATCTGTGAGCACCAGTCCTGGAAATAAATAGGAACTAAAAGCTTATTCAGTGAAATTGATCCCATTCTCATTACATTTGCAGGATCTTGGGATAATTTATTACGATTACTGCCTAAGAAAGAATTTAGAAATTAGAAAAGCATATCGATCTCTGAGTAACCATGCATGAAGCAAATATACTACAGAAAAGGTATGCAAAGTCACCTTTGAGATGAATTGCTTTACTAGCTCTATTCTGTTCTCAGCCTAAGGGTATCGGTAAATCCAAAACAAGTGTGTGCCTTACAGGAGGAAGGGAGACAATGTTATGTGAGCATGTGCAGGGAAAGAAGGGTCTGGAAGAGCCCTTCTGTGGGACGTATCACCGCCTGACCACCGTATACAACCCATGTGTTTCACTGTTTATCTTTTCCAATAAGAACGTAACTCCGCAAGGGTGGGGACTTCATTTTTATTACTGTGATTCGCAGAGTCTCAATCAGTTCCCAGCACATAGTAGGTGCTCATTAGATATTGACTGAGCGAATAATAAAAATGAGACCTTGTTGGCAATACTTTATCAAACATTAGGACAGAGAATGTTGTGGCCAAGGGTAAGAGATATGTTATTCTTAGGTGTATATTACTATTGCAGAAGTAGACATCTTTACTTCAGATATTTTATTTGTTATGCTTTCTACTCCTTTGACCACTTTTTCAGACTGCAGGTTGTGACCTATTAGTGAATCATAAAATCAATTTAGTGGGTGAGACCAATATATATATATATATTTTTTGAGTTGGAGTCTCACTCCACCCAGGCTGGAGTGCACGTTCATGGCCACCCCAGCATTGACCTGCTAGGCTCCAGCGATGCTTCCACTCAGCCTTCAAGTAGCTGGAACTACAGGTGTGCGCTACCATGCCCAGCTAATTTTTAATTTATTGTAGAGACAAGGTCTTGCCAAGTTGCCCGGGCTGGTC